CCGCAGACTTGATAACATGGCTTCATTGGCTGGAAGCTGTGTACCACTGTTCCAAAACACCATGTATCTATGCTGGTGGTAGAAAGAAGACATAGTACCTGAGTTTATAATCTTGGTTAAAATATTGAGACCATGTTTATCTGAATGCCTAGACTGAAATAACCTGCTCTTCCTCTCTCCTTGTGTTTCCCATTTAGTTCTAGAAAAGCAATTTTCTCTGTGCTATTTAGGAGAAACTGACAGATCATGTAAGCTGAATTAAGGCAAAATATTCTGCCTTGGGAGGTAAGAAGTCTTTTCATTATTGCTTGTGTGACTCCTGTATCTGTTCCCAGGAATTATAGAGGGTCTGAGTCTCTACTCTATTACACTAGTTTTATGTCACTGTAGCTACATTGATTTCTCTTGAGTCATTCCAGCAAAAAAATGGTATGACATGACAATGAATCATATCTAGAAGCTGTTATGGAGCTTCTCTAATTAACTTCTGCCTCTAGGCCATTCCCAGGTCTGTCACTGGCCTGTTGGGAGGCGTTGGGCAAGTCCCTTCACCTCTCAGTTTCTTCATCTGTAAAATGGGGATAATGATCCTGACATTCTCAATAAAGTGCTTTGTGATCTATGGTTGGAAAAAATGCTAGTTAGAATCTAGGTATGTTGTCTGGCTAGAATTTAGGAATGGTGGAGCTCAGGCTTTTGTGAGCCCCAGAGATTTAGTGTATCTGTGACCAAAGGCCATTCTCTAATTAATAAACATTTTTTTAAAAAATCTGGGTGTGCAATCCTGCCTCCACTGAAATCTGGAAGAGCATTGTCATTGTCTTCAGTAGGGGCTAGGATTTTACCACAAGCCTCTGCCTAAAATCTTAAAGCTTGATTTTTTTTGCTTGCTCTGGTTTTGCTCCACTGTAAGTCTGTTGAGTTCAGTGGCATTTCTCCGAACGAACTTCTATAGGAGGGGAAAAATGCCCATTTCAGATCTTGGTGGATTGGCCATGGGGAATTGAATTACCCTTTTGTGAATACAACTAAATTCTTCAGTTCATGGTTGAAGCAGGACAATAGGGAAGGTGAGGGAAGCTTGTACTGCTATTGCCTGTGTTATCTCTCTCCTGGAGATCTCTATAGCTTGTCTAGATGAAGAGCAGCAGCAAATCCCAAACAGGCTGGACCTGCTCACCTGCAGGTCCAAGCCAAATATGGAAGTTCTCCAGTGAAGTCACTCTTGGGCTTGCTAGGTGGCCTCCTTGAGCTTCCAGGTTTGGAGTGTGTCTGTGGCGAAGGGTAGCCGAGGCTTGGCTGTGTCCTTGTCAGGAGCTGCCACTACCTCTCTGTGGACAAACCTATGGTAATTATTCTCATTCTCCACAGATGTCAGCATGTTACCTTCATGCAATGTAATAAATATTACATTATATACATTATCATATATTTATTAACTTGGTGTTCAACATAGTCAAGTTTTCTACTATGCTGCTTATGTCTACATCAAGAAAAAAATACTTTTCCTTCAACTTCCATGCTTACTATCCTCCAGATTTGTTGTGACTCAATCTTGTTATCCATGGGATGACTGAGGGTTCGTTCACATGAGAATTATCAAGTCTTCCAGCATGTACATGGAATGTATTTGGATGCCAAATTCATCTGACAAGTAAGTCCTTCAGTCAACAGACCTGAGACTCATCTGTCCAAGCATTTCGTTAAGTTCAAATGTAAAGTTGATTGGACTGAGGTAGCAACTAAGCAACTTATGTGCTTATGTTTCTAGAATGTGTTCTTAGTAGTTTGGTTAGAAATTGAAACCATCTGCAGACTGCTAGGGATATTGTTTTGGAATTTCACCCAGAACTTGCACTTCGTTCTGTATTTTGATCACAAGGATAAATTAATCAATTTCTCCTTTATGGCTGCAGCTGCCTTTTGATATCTTTGGTATTTAAACAGTTCTTTTTTGGCATTGTTGCTATGAAACTGGCAATTAGGAGCATTACAAAGAACAGCTGGACATATTTGCCCAGTGTCCACAGTGCCACCAAGTGGTTATTTATGCATAATTGGAAAAGGAAAATGCTTAAAATTATGGGTGCTTGGTTAGACAGTAGAAGGCAGGGTAGATTTGCACCTTATAGACTAGATCACAGATGTATATAGCATGAACTTTCATCAGCCTGAGCTCACTTCATTGGATGCTGTCAGTAGACAGTAGAAGTCATTAGATTTCCAAACTTGGGCATTGCATTTTGCAAGTTGGATGTGCTCGTGTGTGTGAGTCTATACATTTATTTATATATTATATTGACTTAACAGGGTCTAATCTTGCAGTTAACAGGGTCTAGTCTTAACAGGGTCTAGTCTTGCAGTTGGTGCATATGCTGTCAGCCATATACCCTTATGACTGAATACGGATTAAGGAATTGGGCCTACAGTTTGTGACCTTGAAATAAAAGGAGCTAGGCTTGATCAAGCTGAACTTTATATTTTTGTCATGCTGATTTGCCTGTATTGCTACAGGTGCTGGCACAGCTCCTAAGGCCATTGTGGGTAGCCAGCTCCAGAAATTACATGCTAGAGTAGTACTTAGAGGACAGGGCCCGTTTACATTTTCCTCTGAAGCATCCAGTTTGTCATAGACCAGATGCTGGAACAGAATTACCATTAATTTGAATCTGGGGTTAATGGAAGAGAGAGCAAGGGACTGTTACTCCCCTTCTCTGCTAAAGGCAAAAAATCCCTCTTCCTGTTTTCTGGGGAGGCCTTGGGAGGCACAGCTCTTCCATTTTGGCTTGTCCCTGGAGCACTGGTTGGTTGCTTTGTGACAAACATTGTACATCTTCTGTTCCCTGCATTTACAGAGGGATAAGCAGGAGCCATGTTTATCCATTGTGAAGCCTACATGCCAGTTGTTTCTTGTAACATGTCTAGTAGGTACATATTATATAACATCTGTTCCTGTGTTGGTGCCATAGCAGGGAAGGGGTAACCAGGGAGCCCTTCTCCAGTGCTCCTATCCATCAAGCAGCTAAACTGTGATGGCAAATGCTCCCTGAATGTAGTGCTGTGGGGTTTTTGCATTGCTGAGACTACTATATACTTGGGGATAGATAAGAAGCACAACCATGGTTCTTTCTCCCTGCACATAAGGCAAGAGGCTGTTTTGATCAAAAGGGCAATGGCAGCTTACTCTGGTTTTATATTGGCAATAGTAATAGAAGCTGGTGAAAAATGTGACAGTTCTTATTAGTAATCATATTATTTGGCAATGTCTATTTCTAGCCTTTGATGGCAGAGAACCAAGAGAGAGAAAAAGAAAGATGGCTTTGATGTATTTGTACAATTCTTGTCCTACCTTAAAGGCAACACACATTTGTAAAACGTTACTGGGTTGTGGAATTTGGTTTTAAAACATCTACAGAAAATACCATGAGTGCCTGAGGCTAGCTGTTGAGTCTTTTTAATAATCACTTGGTTTATAGTAGCACCTAGTGACTCCACTAGGTCAGGGCCCTACTAGGCAAGATGCTGCACAGAGGCATGGTGAAGAGACAGAGCCTGCCTGTGGAAGGGAAAGCACTAATTCTCCTCTTCCTCTTGCATGTGTTCCTTCCATATGCCCTCTCTTTTGGGCAGCTCCACCTCCAAGGTATCGGCCTAAAGCTCCTTTCAACATGAAAGCTCCACCGTTCAACTGACCAGGCTGTTCTTTTATCATTTTCTTTGGGGTTGGTTCCTATCTCAGCCTTCCTTTGTCATGTGGGGGTGTAAACCCTGTCACACCACCCCATGGAGCTCACACATGTGACACAAGTTCTTGTGTGTGCCCTTGGTCTTTTTTTTCAAAGCCTCGATTTAAATGCTAGTTCCTCTGAGGTAGATAAGGACTGAGTCTGTATCTCGAAGAGCCTCATTTTACCCATAGAAATCTTACCCATAACTTTTCATAGCATCTGACAAAGTAGGCTGTCACCTACAAAAGCTCATGTCTCTCTGAACCCCTTAGTCTCTCAGGTATCACCTGGCCCTGCCTTCTGCCTTATCCATATGATCAGTTCTACTGAACTTGGGTGAAAAGTCTTTGTACTTTTGTAAGTCTTTGTAAGTTGTGGACTTAGTTTTGTACTTCTTCCATTGATCAAGATGAAAGGAAAAATGTTTCATGGGCTACATCTACACGCTGTCAGGGATGTGATTACAGCAAGTGTAGGCAGATGCTGCAATCTGACAGTCGTGAAGATGAATCAGCATAGGGTATGCCTATCAAGTGAGGACTCAGTGTCTTCACTGGAGTGACACAGTCTGTGCTGACACCTGTGAGGCAACAGCTAAACTAAAGCTAGCTCAGGCACATCTCCACATGCTGCTATTACACTTTTGACTGCAGTGTCAATGTAGCCTTATGAATGTTAAGAAGTCAGACAAAAGTGACAAGATAAGGGAGTTCCACTACAGGAGACCATGCCAGATACCAGGTGGGATATTCAAATACATTCAGCCCCAGCTTGAGCTGCTGTTCCCACTGAAAGGTGTTTTATCATTAACTTCAAGTGGAGCAGTTAGTTTCAAACGATACAATCCAACACCTTAGCAGGGTAGTAACAAAGGGAGTCAATGTGGACTCAGTGGGTTTATATTTTTATATGTAGTGGCCAATATACAGTAGAAAAAAAGTGTGTGTGTGTGTGTGTGTATATATATATATGTATATATATGTATATATATAAAAAAATGTACAGTTGTAAAAAGTGTTTTTCCTTTCATTTACATGCATAGTGTGAAATTTTTTTAAAAGATTGTTCCATGAGTCTAATTGTTCCAAAAAGCAGAATGTAACTAAATAAAAATACTGTATACAACAAAATTAATGCATTTAATAAAATAAAGCATCTTTTTCTCCCTAATAGTTGTATGCCAAAATATGTAAATATACATCTGTTCCAAAAAAAGAGATAAAGCTTTTTGATTTTGTGGTGCATAATAATTATTCAAAACAACTAAACCAATCAAACAAATGTATTTGGTGGGTTTGAATTGATAGGCCAAGCAAGTTTTTTTTCCTTTGCTTCTCTGTCAAATGAGTCATAGATTGAATCTTTGGTCACTGTTTTGGCCGGCACTGGGATTTCTGAGATTCCAACATAATTTTTTTTGGCTATCCTTGAACTAGTAGTGATGGTGTATGCGTTGCTTCGGTAGCATTTCATGGAGGACATGCAAAATGTTTCTTTCATCCCCCTCCTGAAGTTTGCGTTATACACAGAGTACAAGGTAGGTTTGGAGGCTGAAGAACTAAAGGATATCCAAGTGATAGCCATGAAAACCAAGGAACTCTTTCTGTAGTCTGTCTCCTGGGGGTGCCACAGCTGCACCACATAAAAGGGGAGCCAGGTTAATAGGAACACTAAATTCAACATCAGGAACATCTTGATGGTTTTCACTTTTGTCCTTGGAACAATATTCATGGTCCTCCGGACTGTTCTGCCATCAGTGCCTATTCTCCAAATGTACTTGATGACCTTTTGGTAAAACAGGATGATGAGAATGGAAGGAATCAAAAACCCCACCAGGAGATGCACGATGCTGAAGATAGTTCCATCCCAAGAATAAGGGAGAAAAAAGTTGCAATGATTGTCCCAGCTGGAGCCATAAAAAAAGAAAGCTGGGGATACAAAAGCAGCCTCAAAGACCCAAGATGCTGCAATCATTTTCTTGGCTTTTTCTCTGGATACTTTGAAACTTAATGGGTAGACAATTGTGTAGAACCTATCTACGCAGATAGAGAGCAGCACGTAGATCTGTACTCCAGGGGTGAGGTACTGAAAATATCTCACTAGCTTGCACATAACGTTTCCAAGCATCCACCTGCCAGAGGTGAATTGGAGCAGTACAAAAGGAGCACTTGCCATGCTGATGAGAAGGTCAGCACAAGCCATGGAGACCACAAAGTAGTTGGTGGTAGACTGAGTCCTCCTGCTCCTGTGGATCACTAAGCAAACCAGGGAGTTCCCAAAGACAGAAAACAGCCACAATGCTCCAAAAACTAGGCTGGCAGCTACTATTTCCCCTGGCCTCAGTTCATAATGCAACACTGTATTGTTCCTCTCTGGCCTGTGCTCCTTGGGTGAATCTCTCATTTCATGGCTTGCCAGAGGCATGGAGGTTTCAGTGTAGCTGATATTCTGTAGTGGTAGCAATAATGTAGGGAGAACAAAAGCAGCTTTGTTGTCATCCATACCATGGGCCAACACCATAGTCACGTTTTCTGCTCAAGTTCTGCAGAAAGAGAAGGAGGAAGATTATTGCTGAAAGGTGCACAGGGAGAAAACTTAGTCTGAATTTATTTTCTGTCAGAGAAATTTAAAGCCAGAAATAATAATTTGATAATCTCACCTGACCTCCTGCCTCTCTCAGGGCTTGACTACACTGTGGTGATGGTACATCTTGGCCAGGATGGGTCTGAACACACCCTGTTCCCTGTACCAGCAGGCATGTTCTGAACCTTACATTTGCTGACAAAGGTTCCTGCGGGTGTACCTCTTGAGGCAGCTCTCGAGCCTATATCCTTTGGTGTGCTTGAGAATGGCTGCTAGGGATGAGTCCAGAACTGCCACACTGGGGTACGGGCCTGGAGTTTGCCATGGTGCCTGGGTGGTTGGGGCATGGGCAGAGTATATTTAGGTCCATCTTGGTCAGGACACACCACTGGGGTGTAGATTAGCCTGCAGAGGCCTTTAATTTTCAGTTTACATCAAGCCCAAAGACTGTAGTTAAGCCAAATATGGCAGTCTTCAAAAAACAAAACCAACTAAACATGAACAATACTCCCCTACACATACTCCCTCCCCTGGCCTTGCCCTTCCCAAATGTCGTGTGACATAGGTAAAGATCAAGGCAATCAGTGCCTGAAATCACTGTTCTGGTTGGGTATTGATTAGGTGAGAGATTCCTAAATGATCCTGCTGGTGAACTAGACTTCATGATGCACAGATGGTAAGGGTTTTATGGCCTGGATTACAAGGAGTCATTTCTGATATTCAAAGATGGGGGGAAGTTACGTTATACTTTCTCATTGTGTCCCAAATCTTCCCTAATCAGTATATTATAGGCCATAATCCTACTATCAGTAAGCCAATAGGAGCTTTGCTATACTAATGTCAATGGGATTGAAGTTTGGACCTGAGTGCATAGAAAGCTACAGTAATGAGACCATCGCAGAGGAGACAGTGACTAGTAAACGCAACAAATGCTGAATGCTCCACACTTGGTATTTTATTCATAAACCGTCCATAGACTCACTTCCTTCTAACTCCCTTGGCTGTAGGCTGCCCAGCCCACTCCTTCTTGCTAGCATTTTTTAAACTGCAGTTTGCAGAGTTGTGCAAATGGCATCCAGAAATGTCTGAATCTATTGTTTCTTTTGCTTCATGGCATGTTTAGGGAGGGGTAAAAGAGAACATGAGGTGTAAATGCTGATCTGCCGGGGCCTGTACTGGGCTGGTTACCTAGATCCCTCTCAGGGGTCAGGGAGAAAAGACTCCTCTTTCCACTCTCCTTCGGTTGAGAAGATGTTCTGCTTTCTGTAAAGACTCAAGGGAGAGGAACAGATGATTCTACCCTTTACTCTTGGAGGAGAGACAAATCAATGGAGTATTGTGAGTGACAAGTACTGACAGGAGAAGTAGGGATGTGTATGGCTGGGTGATGTGGTGAGGTAGTCTGTTAGTGGGATGAAGTGACTGGTACTGGGGAAGGAGCCTGAGACTACAAATAGGGTTAATAAATGGAGGACAGTCTGGGTGAGAAACTGACAGTGACCAAATATTGGGCTACACTACATTCTTCAGCAACTGGAGTCACTGGTACTTGAAGGGACCACCTGGGCACCCTGGCCTCACCTACCTTCACCAAGTTCCTGCCTCTAGTTCTTCTTCCCTCTGGCACTTGAGGATGATCTGGCAAAACAAATGGGAGTTAAAAATAGTTCTGTAATCAGCCAGAGGACCTTTGTATGTATGGAAGAATAAGAGAAAAAGGAGGAATAGGAGGAAAATGTGTTTAGAGACAGCAAGAGAGACATGCTTTGTCTCTTGCTCATATTATCCTTTCTTTGATTTTGCTTACTTCTTTTTATTCAATAGGAAATGTAGGCATCTTTGAGTACTGTGTGTTATGAGAGCACTATGCATGAAGGCTGATATTTTGAGTATAATCAGGGACTCCAAAGTAGGACATGTGAATTTCTGCAGCTAGAACTAATGAGGCAGGCTATCCAGCTGAGAGCTGTGAGGGAGGGTTATATGTGCAGTCACACATGGCATTTGAATGAAATCCTAAAGATGTGCACTGACCTTTTCAGGGATCTGCATTCTGCTTATCAAAACACACACCTGACGTTTCTGGAGCACTGCCCAGACCAGCCCTCCATCCTCAATTGTATGTCGTGACTCTGCTTAGGAAAAAGAGAGTGAGCGGAGAATATCCTTGTCTCTGCTGGAAAATCCTGTAGGTATATGACCAGGTTACTGACTGGTGCAGTCAGCTGTTGCACATAGAATATAATCACTGAAAACCTGAGATTTCTTGAGTAGCTGACAGCTATTTCAAACTGGGAAAAAATAGAAAAACGGTGTCTGGTTTGGAACTGTGGTAAATGATTTTCTGTGTTTTAGAGCCTACATTAAAAATCAGCCCACCAGTTTATAGCTGCTTGAACTGATCATTTTAGAATAGTCTGCATTTGACCTCCGTATCAGGGGCTGAATTCAGCCATGTCAGTGGCTTGTTGTCCTTTCTCTCAAGTGTCTTTCTGAGTTCCTCTAGAGCTAGGCAGACCCCATATTTTCCCCAACTCATAGCAAACTCCTGCCTAAGTGCCTTAATGAAGAGGGTGGATTGGATTTGCACAGGGGGCTTGATACTGTGAGGTGCTGAATGCTGTAGAATTGTGTTGAAAATAGCAGGATGGGAGGGTGCCCAGCATTTTGCAGGCTTGGGCTGCCAGTCATTCACAAAGCTATGCTGAGCACTGTTGCAATGATCATGGTTCAACCTTCAATGCTAAGTATAAAATTTAACTTAATAATAACGGCTTACTTTTGCAGATAGATTTTTTTCATTTGCATGGAGGCCCAGATGCATTGCAGAGGGCCGAACCCCTCCTGCATCCCTATCCCTACACCATGCCTTGGAAATGGAGCCACTTCTGGGATCAAGCCACAGCAGTTTTTCTCTGCTAGTTACAGAGCACACCTTTTCAGGAGGGAATAGGTCATGACTTCTGGAGCTAAAACAAAGGGGTAAAGTTTAGCTGGACAGAATTAAATTGCCCAATTTGGGATTTAGCTAAAGGCATCATGCCAAAACAGCTAATCCTGAAAAAAAAAAAAAAAGAGCCATGAAAGCTTTCATGACATCAAGCGGCCACAGCCTGGGTCTCACAAGAAAAGTGGCAACGTCAGCATTGCAGTACCCCTAACGCTTTGTTGGGGCACTGATTGCATATGGATCTTGAAGGAAGACAGGCATTTCTGGAGTTACTGACACAAGCCAAAAGTCACCTGACTTTTCCTGGCAAGTTCAGGGAATGACAATATTTCAGCTCAGGATGAGGACCATTTGACTTAAATGAAGACATTCAAAGGGTGTAATGTTGGCTTTTGATTGCATATGTTGCAGTATTAAGGAGGCAACTCTGGACAAGGTGCCATCAGAAAAGGCCTATACTGTCTGTTGAACTGTTAAAATCTATAACACGCTCAGCTATGGCACACATAATTTTCAGATTAACCATTGACACAATGGCTAAAATGGCTCTGTGGGATCAAGTCACATCTCAGAATGGGGTCCCTTATATGTTTGCATTTCCTGGGCTGCCAGTTCCTTAACCAGGAATCCCCAGCACCCAACACAGCAGCAGCTTCACCATTTACCCTAGTCAAAGTGGGAGTGGAGGAACTGCTATAATGGATTGACACCCTCAGAGCATCCTCCCAGGCTGGAGGGAAACTCCCTTTGGCAGCTCTATTGGCTATTTTTTGCCCACTTTTTCCTGGCAGAGCAGCGATAAGTGCTGGCAGCACAGCCCACTAAATTGCACATTAGTATAAACTGTGATAGAATAATGCTACCATGTGGGATCTAGTTAACCAGCTGAAGAAGAATGCTTCAGACTAATATCCTTTCCCCTTCCTCTTTGCCCAAAAGTGGTACGTTCAACTGTGGCTAGCAACTAACTGTACAAGATATTGGGCTTAATACAAGATAAATGAAATTCTATAGTCTGTTGTTACCCAAGAGGTCAAACCAGATGACTTAATTGTTCTTTCTGGCCTTAAAAAATTCTGTCTATAAAAACCACTCTTGTCTCATCTCGCTAGTGAGCCAAATAGGTCAGAAACATATGTTTGGGCAAAAGCCATCAAGAGAGTATATCCAATCCAGTGCTGCGTCATCCCTAAACATTCTGGGTCCTGATATTCACACAGCAGGCAACTCTGTTGCTTTCTGCATTGATACATGCAGTACCACTGTTACAAAAAAAACTGTTTACAACCAAATGTGGTGTAGTCATGGATGCAGCTTTTAAATGAGTAGGATTAAGCAGGACTTCACCAGTAGGCACAGCAGAGAAAGAAGAGCTGTTTGGTTCAAGACACAAAAAACTGACTGATAGGTGTCCTCAAAGACTGGAGAATGGCAAGAAATTGCTTTGTGGGTGGGAAAGGAGAAAAGCAAATTACTTTGAACAAGTGCCAGAATCCATCAATTCTCATTCCCCCAAATGGAGCTGGAAACATTTGGTGTGGACCCTATATCTGTGGTTGTTACCTGACCAAAAAAAATTGCCAGACATAAAATTACTATAATACTTACTGTCTGGAAGGACCTGACATTTTGTAGCATGCTATGTACACACATCACCAATGCAATGCAACTAATTCTGGTGTGAGTGGCTGCTGCCAGGAAGGGCAATGGTAATACCCAATTATCTCCTAAGTAAAATGATAGAAGCAATGTTACATTGGATATGATCTGTGTCATGATCATATAGTAGCAGATGTATTCTGTACAGTTACATACAATGCAGTTGGACAGTCACCTATTAGGGTTTGCCTATGCAGGTAGTAGCTATTCCAGGATAGATGTTCTTGATATAACATTCCTGATCACTTCCCTCTGTGGAAGCTCTTATTCTAGAATACAAGTGAGAGAGAGGACTCAGAAGTTGCTATGACTGTAGCTTAGTGGTTAG